ATCTTAACACTTATACTGCAAAGCAGTCAACTCTGATGTGTGCTCTACTCACCCTTTTAAAGCAAATAGTTTACACCATTCAATAGAGCAGTTGTTGCCAAAATTTGTTACTAAAAAGTATTAAGGTTTGAAACTTGTAAGAGGAATCAGAGAGGAATTACAGATCATTCTGATCCTGTGACTTCCTAGCGACAACTGGAAATGCGGTACTAGTGGAATATGGTGATCCAAGGGGGAGCCATGACACTAAATCATTTGTTTCAGTTTTGAAATTGGTTAGAATAGACGGGAAATGATGAAACGTTTGCTTTAGAACTGCTTGAAAATTCAATGCTAATTCTGAGGGCATCTCTATTTGTGACGCTTAGTTCTCTTCCAAACCAATTTGTCTTCAGAAAGAACTGAAAAGATGTTATAAACCCTACATTTTTCTAAATAAGATATGACCTAGGTTATCTACTCAAGTTTCAAATTGTATCTTGTGAAGTTGAATTCCTGCATTATGGGATTTAAGGTCATGAAGGGGATCAAAAAGGGTAAGTATCATCCAGCTCAGTACCTATCAGGCTGCTTTTGCAGTAGATCATAATATTTAGCTGTGTTTCCAGTATGCTCTAAGATTTTATATATTACGTTCTGTAAATAGAGGAGACTCCCTGGTTATGACATATTGTTACAGAACAGGTAGTGATCTAATGAAAAGCAAAAGGAGACTGAGAAGGGGTTTGCCGGAGCCCTGCGTGATATGAATGCTAACAAGTCCACTCACGTCATCAGCTTCCCTGCTCTCAGCTCCCCCCTCCCTCCCTTCCTTTCTCTTTTATGAGCCAGCTTGAAATCAGGGAATTACATGCTAAGGAAAACCCTTCAGCTAAACATATAATTATTCTGCACAGGATCAGTGCAGCACAGTTAATCAGTTTACCAACTGAATTAATTTTTATTTTTTTCATGTCTGCATCTCCTGTTGAGAGTGGAGAAATTCTGGATTTAAAGAGGAAAAAATGGTTTGCAGTTGGGAAATGAGTGTCTGAAGCTGAGCATTCATTATGAGAGAAACCTCCACTGTAGGCTGTTTTGGCAGACAAACCTTACTGTCAGTCCCCAAGACTGTGAATAACCGACTCCATGTGGAGTTATTACTTACAGGTACTTAAGAAATAACTGGCTTCCTATTTTAATTTTCAGCTGTTTAATAACATTCCATTCTCTGAAAGTCACAGTTGTATTTCATTGCATTGTGTTTCATTTCATTTCACTGGATTGTTTTGAAAAGTTAGTATTTGTTTGGACACAGGTGTCACTTCAGTGTAAATGATCTACTTGTAAACTGCTTCATTTAGGAAGTACAAAATCCTGTTATTTGTAGAAGTACAGAGAATACATTTTAGATTCTTCTTACAGTGAAAACATGAACGATCATGCTTTTATTAATTCTAAGTGCAAATAAGGCTCCCAAATTCTTTAAAGGATTACCTTCCATAGTGGATGCATGCATACTAAAATAGATGGACTTTGGTGCTTACTCTGATAACCTGTTTGCAACTGCAAAGCGTCACTAAGTTTCACAGTAACTTCATAGGCCAAAAAGAAATCAAGGTCTCCAGGTAGAAGCATTACAGATGTAAATATGGAGTGTAGTTTGTCATTTACTCACGTTAATATGTTAAACTTAATAAGAGGAAAAACAGACCAAGTTTGAAAAGCACTCTGATTCTTAATGTACTTGCAAGCTTTATGGGTAATATTTATTTTCCCAACAGTGCCAAAATGGAATTTGAACAAGGCAAAATTCTTTCTTTTAAAGTACCTTTTAGGTCCATAGTACACACATCCAGGAAAACATTTAAGTTTTGTAAGAAATGGGTCTGTGCCAGGAGAAATACTGGCTCATTTTCTGAAGTGAAAACCATTTAAAAATTTAAAATTTTGGAAAATTTTGGAAAAAAAAAGTAACTGAAAACTGTTATTAAAAATAACTTCACAATTAATGTTTTCTGCTCCTTGGAAAACTTTCTTTTTAAGAACAGTGCCTCCGGCTGTGTATCTACTAAACTTTACAAAATATTTTTGTATACTCTAAAGACAATTTCTTTAACACAAAGGTATCTAGAGTCTTAACTTCTAGTGCCTCTATAAGCCTCAAGAATCAATTTCTAAAGGCTTGCATGGCCTTTTCAGGTTGTCCACACAATCAGATGCAGTTCCCAAGTTGAACCTGGTTGAATGCATTCCTGAGAAAGGAACTGTGGATAAATAGAAGATGCCAACTTGTCACAATGATGTTCCTTAAAGCCTACCAACTTTTACTTTTTTTGGCAAGTAACATTTCCTTAAGGAAAAGAACAGAAGGGTGTCTCCTCTTGGTTGGGGCTTAGGCTACAGCTGCTTCTGATAATAGCACAGTGTAACCAGGACACGTTCTGGGTAGCCAGATCTCAAACTATCAACATCATTTTTGTGGCTTTCTTCCATCTTCTCTTCAATTATTTGATGTTGCTGGTACTCACTGCTCGTTAATTTTAAAAGATGTACTTTGCTAGCAGTTTTTAAAAGTGAGTTATGATAGCTTAAGTAATTATGATAAAGTCAAGTTAAAAAGATACATTACTGTCATTTCCCTATGAAATATATTCTAATTTACAACCTTTAAAAAGAAAGCTGATTGACTACATGTTTTTAAGCCAAAAAAAAAAAGGTGTATTACACTTACAATATTTATTACACTGTTTATTAACATGTTGCTTTCTATAGCAAAGATAATATTCCGCATTCATAGCATGGTAATTTTTCTAAAATGTTTTTACTTTGTCTTTTAATGCTGTCAAAGAAGTGTACCCTTCAGTATAGAAGACATACGTAAAAGCTACCTTACCACTTGAATATTACTACCTGTTCAGACCTTCGACATCTCTAATGCATTAATAGCTATTTAGCAGCATGACTACAGCTAATGGAGCTGACATACAGAATACATGTAAATTACAAGTAAACAGTGGCCACAATTGGGAAATTTTTGTGAAGTAATGGATTTACAAGTAGTTTTACAGTCATTCTGGTATGCTTCCATTTGTGTGTGTTAGTTGTTTCCTTTGGCTACAATTGAAGTATGCATTTATAAAGGTGAGCACCAGGATTAAAAAGGGGCTTGTAATATTAGCATGGTAAAAATGGACAAATGTGCAACTTTACTGCTTGTGGATCTGTAGCACTCATGTTACCAAGAAAAATACCTATCTTGTAAATACTTCCATGTTCATTGCATTTTACTTATTTATGCTTAAATCCAGAGGCACACAACTGACAATACTGTCTACTCCAGACGTCCCTACTGATGCAGTATGCGGTCTCTATATAGAAATTTAACTGTCAGGCAACTCCATACATTTAAACCTTTTATTTGTATGTCCTTCTTGCTTCCATGGTATGCACTACATATGTTATGGATTAATGGTGCCCAAGATGTAATTAGTTTACATCAAAAAGGATAAAAAAGTAGCAGGAAGTCTTTTTAAATTTAGCAACAAGTATTATACACACTTTGACTTCCAATTTACACTATAATTCAAGTAATGAGTCAAAATAGCATAATGATCTGTTATGCTATTAAATCTTTTACATACTGAAAATAAAGGTGTGGATCAGAAAACGCTCCTCTGCATGTACAGTAGGAATTGATTTCAAGTAATGACATTGGAGTATGAGAATCAATCCTATGTCTAATGGTTTCGGGATCCATCCCAATGACCAGCTTAAGACCTCCCAATTAACCTGAATTCACAAACACCTGAGAAACAAACTACATACATTCTCTTAGATACCATTAGCTTCATAATACTATGTGCTTGTAAAAGAATAGTTTGCTCATAACTGTAATGTGTCTGATGAGCAGCTAAACAGCCCAATTTCAGTTAAGTATGGAGATATATCTCAGCAAAATGAAATCAAAACCATTCCCTTATTAATGATAATACTTTGAAAGCTTAAAGGATATTATAGCGGGCATCCAATTCAACCCTCCAATAAGCTCAGTAATCACATTACGGAAATTATTTCTATAAGTAAGGTATAACCAAAATTTGCACCTCTTCTCCTTATATAATGGAGGTCACTTGTAGCAGAAATTATTTGTCTCTAAGACAGAGAGCTCATCAGAAGCAATGTATAACAACACTAATGCATCTGACTGTGGAAATACATTTTTCCTCACTCAGGAGAAATTTAAAACACTTATCATCATGAACAATTCTTCACCCTCCCATCCAACCCAGTCTGTTTGCAGCACAGCCGAGCACTGTAAGGCAAAACATGTCACAGCTTATGGCTGTGTTGTGAAACTGTGAATGTGCAGGAAAATCATCATTCCTGTCAAGTTGTCAGGAAGAGTTTCCCCAGCAAAGCCGTGCTCAGCCCTGCGCGCTCCCCCTGCGCGCCCCACGCACGGCGCGGGCTGCACTGTCCACGGTACCAGCGACGGAGGGGGACGCGGGTGCGTTAGACACAACAGCGGCACGAGCAAGAGCAGCTGGGAAGCCTGAACAAATCAGGACATGTCACTAAAGGAGCAGAATTCCTCAGCCCAGCCACCGGCACCTTATGCTCCTTGTGGTACCCTAAACTACAAGCGAGTGCTGCACAGCCACTGCATCAGATCACCTGATATGAGCAAAACAGACCTAATCAGGGCAAATTTAAAGCCACCAAACATAATAACGTTACACTGTGCAATGCATAATGGAGCCATGAGACACAAACACTTTATGCCTGCATTTACCAACAAATGCATTTGATCCCTACTCAGTTCTCGGCAGAAATCCCAACAACATGCTGCACAGCTTAAACAGCTTGTCTCCTCAGTCGTGTCTTTAAAAACTACTGTGCAAAGCAGCATACGGATTATTAAAACTGAATAAACTCTTCCCAAAACAAGGATACAAAAGCAGATATGCAAATTGCAAGGAGCCAAAGTAGAGACAATACATGGTAATAAATGATCATACCTTTCATCCAATCCACTACTTGCTTGGGCGTCCACTTGCTAATAGGTTCCATAACGAGAGCCATCATCAGATCACTTTATCATTCACACCAAAATCAGAAAAAGGAGAGAAAAAAATGTATCAGAGCATGGCTGGGCTAAGAGAGCTGTAGGATTTTACAGTGCAGTCCAAAGAGAAGATGATGCTTTGTCCCTCCAGGTTTCTCCTGCACTGATTCAGTAATGTATAAAATTACACTGCTTGATCAGCTCTGGCACCTCCCCCACTGCACACAGCCTGCAACACACTGGAGCACAGAGCCAGGAAATGGTGCAGTACGTATAGACTTACTTACAAAAGCCTCTACCCAGTGATCTACTTATTAGACTGGCACAAATATAAAATTATATTACACAGAAAGCAATTCAAGCTGGAGCTATTCCAGACACTGAGTTTCAAGGAGCTTTATTCCAACAAGCTCTGGGATCTTCATCAGGGAAAATATCACTACTGTAACTTGATAGCAGATTGTCTTGGCTTCATTGTGAATATGCTGACTGTCACTCAGTTTAAAGAGAAGATAGAAATATCAGAATATCGCTTGGCATCTGGCAAAATGCTGAGCATCTCCATCTTTACAATACAGAATGTTGCTGGAGTCTTATACTATATAATCATGTAATTCAGCATGTCAAACACAGTATAAAAAGTCTTACCCAAGAAAAAACTATTGGAAGAAAACTCTTTATTCTGGCCAAATGCAGAGCCCATATATTTCCTTCTATGAGCTTCTCATTTTATAGTGAAAGAATGACAGCATCAAAGAGTCAATTTTTACTACTACAGCACTTTAATATAGGCAAGTATAGGAACTATTTTGATTCAAGGCACTGGGACCATTAATCAATCTCTCCCTTTCATTAGGGAGGGGGAAAAGATGTTTAAAATATTCCTAATACTGAAGTTTACTATCATTCCATATGATGAAGGTTAAACATTGTAATGAGATGTGCCAAAGAGCGCTTTTTGGACCCTTTTGTGACTCTTTATACCTCATGCAGCACAAGTTCTGCATCATGTGGTTGAAGAGGTGCATGCTTTCTGTTTGATCCATTGTCTGAGATATGCAGCCCCGCTATTTTATTTTAGGGGGAGAAACTCAGATTCCAGAAAAAAAAGGGACAGAACAAAGCAGTTCCACCTTTCATTTCAGTAATCTTTCATCTGTGCCTTTTCTTCCTGCACTGCTCCAAGTTCCACCAGCACATTAGGCTAAGAAGATGATATTGTAACCATGTCTCTCTCACTCCACTAGAGCTGTGTTAATTTACCCAGGCTGAGATCTGTCCCTTCTTTCTCATATGGGGGAACATAAAATATAAATGGAATACTTATGCTACACTGTTTCAGGGTTTTTCTTTAGGTCTACATAGGTAAGGATGCAGACAGGCATCCTCCCCCCACCACCCCCACCACCCC